ATTCTATGATTCTATGATTCTTATCCCTTATGCTTTTCTCTTTCAGCTCTCTTCTGTTCTCCCTGCTGCAAATATAGCATCTCCTCTGGTTACCAGTTTCATAGGAAGCAAATACTAATGTTTATACCTAAGTTAAAAACATAACAAAGATTCTGAATGAGTATTTATTTCCTTAACAAGTAAATGAAGCTGAGGAAAGTGAATCTAAACATGCTGATTAATAAGCATTTTAGACCATGCAGGCTCTTAACCCAGTGTATGTTACCAGCCTTGTAAAGAACATAAAGTCAGGGTGCAATGGGTGACAGATGTGGAGTAATTGAACTGTGCACTTTCTTGGCAAATTTCTGTACATTATGACATCAGAAGGGCTGTATTTACGTATGTGCTCACACAGTGAAGGATCCCCCTTTCTAAGAGTTAAACTCCCACTGCATTCAGTGCTACAGACTCAGTTCCATGAGACCTGAGACATTCTCCTGTCTATTTTGTAGCAATGTTTACATTTTACAGGACATTGCACTCAAAAGGAAATATTAACAATGCAGTTATGACCTTCTTATTTTGGCAAATGTTTACTGATTTAAAATCTCTTTTTAGTGCTATTTAACATGCTCCAGATTTCTAAGAGTAGGAATCTTTAACCTGGCCAAAGTGCTACCTCAAAACTTTGAATTTTGCTTGAGCAGAGTCCTCTGCATTGTGTCCATTACATAAAATCATATCCCTGTACAGGTAAGCAGGAGCAAGGGGCAGCTCAAAGTCAATGAATTCCATCAGACATATCAGGCCACCATTTATACCCCTACACAAAAGTTAATTTTGTCTTTCTTAATATCCAGGCCTGTAGTCACCTGAAGCAAAATGCAGAATGTGGAACTGAACACAGTTGAATGGAAATATTTTAGCACAACAGGCAACTCACATGATGATACAACTTGATCAGGTAACAGAAGTATAAGAAAGGTAGATTTATAGGCATCATCCTGGCATAAGGGGTTACTACTCTCTTTGTACCTAAATTTAGTTCTTCTTCCACATGAAGAGAGTGCAAAATCACTGAGCTTTGCAGCTGCATTCCCATATAGGAAAAGAGCCGCAGAAGTGAAGCTGTATTTATATGTATAAAGTCATAACTTCTAAAGTAAATGGCAAAGCTATGTTTGCTAGGTGAGTACAGCACTGCTCGATGAAAGCAGAGTTTCTCATATTAGTGGGGGAAGAACTGCAAATAACTTCATGAAAAGCACAATCCTTTACTAATTCTCTTGTGGTCCCAATGAATCCACTGCCAACAGTGAAATGTGCACCTGGCAATCCTAATGCCACATGTCAAGGATCTGTGCTGAGATATGCTAATTTAAGTGATTAAGGATTAACAACTTGGCCAACAGGTGCACCCTCATGTGGAGTCCATCATTCAGCCAGGCTTTCATTCAGAAAACCTCTTCTAATAAAGAACATTGCTGAAAAGCAGACTAGCTTTGTGCAGTTGGCAAACCTCTTCCCTTTCTTGTTTAGGGAGTGCAGCACCTATGGCACAACATAATCTAAGAGATACGCAGAAAACTTCCAGTGAGTGTTGTCAGGATGGGATCTTTGATGTCCACTAACAGACGAAATCCTTGACTCTAATCTTGGCTATAACAGCTTGAAACTAAATTGCTTTGATTAGCATTATGGAGAACAGAATGTGTCCCACAGCTGCTGGCTGTCATCAATACTCAATGACTGTGTATCACTAACTTTAAAAGGAACAAAACTAGGCCAATATAATCTTTAACACCCTCCTCTATGTATGATATCTCAAAGGAGAAGCTATGTACAGAGAGCAGTTTCTGTTCTGGAAAGTCTCGCTGGAAAACAAGGACCTGTCTGTGTGAGAGGCAAGCCTAGCTGTTAGCGTGCTGCAAGGCATAGCCATTGTTGTACATGTAATTACTGTAGCTGGTCCAGTCATCTGCACACTGATAGTCTTGAGCAGGCTGAATGTATGGGTGATAAGCTGCTTCTTTTCCCAAGAAATAAGACGGAGCAAGTCTCTTTAAAACCACAGCACTGAACTGGTATGTCAGCTTCCTCCGGATTTTAATGATTTCACCTGTTCTCCCATAATTCCTCAGTGCTCTGGCCATTTTCTGGTATGTCATGATCTTGCGGTTTCCCTTTCTTTCTCCCCACAGTTCTGCAAGTTTCTCCTTGTTTTTGGAGACAAACTGGAAGACACCATTTGGCTTATCCACCCATTGGATGCAGTTTGCCATAGCTGGATCATACAGAGACTCGTGGAGGTATTCAAACAGTCGAAGTTTTTTTCTACCTACAAAGAAATATAATGCAAAAGGTCAGAACAGTACTCATGCTTCTTTTAAAAGATGCGCAGTTGTCTTTTCCCTGGAAATGATCTTACAGGCAAAAGCATAGCTAAACCTAATACTCTGTCCCAGTATAAACTACTCAACGGAAGAGCAGTGACAGCAAATGGGGTCATAGTTCTGAAACATGCACAGATCTGTGGTGACAGAAAGGGATTTGGTCACTACAGTTTCAAGAGCAGGTTATTTGGGGTTCATAACAAGTATCTGGTGACTTCACTGTGTGGTAGGTCTCAGAAGCCACTTTCAGCACTCTTCAAATACGTGTTGTGCAGTCACACATCGAGGGATCCACACTAAGCACTTACATCCTCAGAAGGGGCAGAAAAGAGGTTCCGGAGAGCCAATCTGAATGGTTTTGAATAAATTGTTTCACTGTTTAATCAAAACTCAGAGATTTTGAGATGGCTGAGTTTTGTCAGGTTTGTTTCAGGAATGTTTTGGGGATGCAAGGTAGTCACTGATACAAGAATGGGTGAATGGGTGAGTAGGGAGACCAAACTAGTTTTTAACTAGAAACATCACTGGTGGAGAGAAGCACTTGGTCACTGTCAAAAAGGAGTTAGACCTTCTGGAGCACTGTAATCTTCTAAAAATCTGTGGAAGTGACAACTTGCATCCCCACGCAGAATAAAGTAATTGTAGGACTGAAATATTTGCCAGTTAACTAAGTGCTTCTCTCCCCAGGCTCAGTTCTCAAACTCAAGTTTACTGGTAAGGCTTATTCAGTTTCACTTAGACCTTGTGGATCCTCCTCTCTGAAGTATTTATAGTTCCCTTCGCAAAGACAAGGGTGACCAAGAAACTGCTGTAAGGAGGAAGAATTTCAGATTATGAGACAAAGAGGAACATTTTGCAGAAAGGAGAATCTGTGCAGAAGAACATCTTCCACTTAACCAAAGTGGAAACAAGCAGCTGCACCTAAAGTTCATAAAGTCTTGTCTTGTGTGGCTATTTTAAACTAGGAACAGGGGAAAAGTGACCGTTGCTGAGGAACACTGAGGTCAAGCCAAGACATGTGTCAGGGATGACAGTAATTCTGTATCTGGTGATAAGGAGAGGAGAGAACTAACAGTCGGACAGGGAAGAAGAGCCTGAAATCAGAGGTACTTTCCAAAAAATTAATAAAGTTTCATTATCTAAATAGAAATTGGCCTGTGACTGGAAGTACATATTCTGCTATGAAATATGTGTAGTATTGCCAAGATGAGAAGTTGAAAAACAAACGACACTACCTGGTCACACTAGGCACTTCTCTGTAGGTGACATGCTTAGGTCCCCTCCAACTTGAATTATCCTATAAACCTATGGTAGAACAAATAAATCAGGGAAAATCTGCAGACTACTGAAGGACTAATGCTTGCTGAAGGAGGATAGTACAGCCATGTCTGCAGCAGCATCTGATTTCATGCTGTGTGTCCTCTTAGTCCAGCTGTCATTTCTGCCTAAGCTTTTATTTCTAGACACATTGCCTCTAGCTGATGTCTTGCTTGGGGGGGGCTTATTTGCTCTTATGTGTTTGTGCAGTTTTGTCTCCAGAGCCCAGCTTGCCACCAAAGTGCTACACAGTGTTTGAGCTGGGGTCACTTTACAGACCTCTGTACTGCACCTCACTGCACAGGCTCGTGGTGTTCAGCACCAGGCCCTAACCAGGAGCCTAAGCTGGCAGGTGAGTGCCTGCAGGTGCCTTGTGTGGTGACTGGAGAGCAGCAAAGTTTCTGGATTGAAAGGTTTTCATTTGTAGTGGTGAATGTCAGATATCTGAAGGACAACTTAAGAAGAGAGGCACTTACCATGGTCCTAAATAGTCTGTGCTCGTAGTAATAGTAGTAGCAGCTATTACACAACAGAAACCACAGTGCTCAGCATCAATGGGAAGAGGCAACACTAAAAACTGACACCATGTGGTTAAAGTTGAGAGAAGGGGATTTCGAAAAGTAGCTAAACCAGGAAGCTACTCAAAAAGGCTCCACAGTCAAAAGTAGGTACAACAGCTCAGTGGAAGCTGTGGAAATCTCATATAACAGCCACAGAAAGGATGCTGAGCCCCAAATAAAGCACAAGTAATGAATGCAAGAAAGAAATTTAGTACTGCAACAACCAATGTCACCTGACCTATTCCTTTCAAAACAAATATCCACTCAAGTAAAATCAACCAGAATGAGTAGAAAAATAGCTATAAAAACACACACTGGACATGGTGAAATCTAAATGGGAATTTGAGAAGTAAACAGAGAAAGGCATAAAATCAGGTGCAAAAATATTCATGCACATAAAACACCTTCAAAAAATCACTGCTTGTTGGACAACATAAAATAAAGTAAGTTGGTTAAGTGGATAAAGATGTTACGGGTAGCTAGGCTGACATCTCTGCATCAGACTTCATCCCAGGTGATTTGGAGTGAAACAAGTCTCTGGTTTGCTTTCTCATGTACTAAACAAGGAGTAAGTTAATAACAGATTTGTCATATCTTAAGAGATTTAGCAGATGGGAATTCAATGCTAACAGTTGTATTTTAGTTCCTATTAAATGTTAACTTATTTTTTTGCTGTCAAATGTTTGAAAAAAAAAAGAAAGAGAAAAGAGAAATCATGTTTTACCAAGAGAATTCTTAGAGTAACATGACATACATATCAAGATATGCTCTTTCTACAGACCTTTCCCTGCTTTTGGCTGGCCAGCAGCAGCATGCACCACTTGACCTTCTGGAGCATTCTGCAGCGTATGGTAGACAGTCTCATCTGCATAGAAGTCCCCTGCACTGTTCTTCAAGGATTAAGACGACAAAAAGTTACTAATAGAGTACATTCTCCAAAGAAAAAGAAACTCATAGTAATTAACTGCCCAAACCCTTCAAAATGCAGCTTTTCATCACCTATTCCATGGAAGACTTTTCTCAGCACAAAGGCAGTGTAGTAAACCAAGAATGAGCAGCAGGGGCAAGAACTGCCCACGCAGTGTAGTAAACCAAGAATGAGCAGCACTAATTTATGTACAGGGGCAAGAACTGCCCACTAGGGGAGAAACTAAGGGAATACAGCATAGTTGCCTCACTCTGGACCTTCAACCCTTCTGCTGGAAGCAGAGGGCAAACAGTTTTCAGAGTCAGTAAGAGCCAAGAGCCACCTGGACAGCGGTCCCTATAGACTGCAGTTCCTATGTCTTGTTGTTGTTAATCTGCTCATTGAAACTGGGCTTTTGTGGACGTTGTTTACCTGAAATAATCTCCCCTGCAATATTCATTCCCATCACTCCTGGAGGCCATGCTCCCAGTGTGTCTGAGAATGAATATGGGCTCTACAGGCTGAAGCTGAGCTCAGAGTCCAGACAATTCTGGTCTTTCCAGAACTTTTAAAGCAAATTGCTGTTGGAGAAATCAAAGTATTTGGAATAGTATTTCCTCACAGGGGCAGAAGCTATGAAGAGGTTGGACATTGTTGTTCTCTGCCTGTTCCCAGGTAATACAGAGAGGCCCTTTTCCCTGTCAGATTGGTTGGTTTGTTGGTTGTCATGTTAGGTGATGAACCACAGAAGAGCACCAGAGGCAAACAGCTAAGATGACTCCTAAAAAGATACTATTAATTATATTTTGCAAATATTTCCCAAGGCAGTTCCATCTGAATCATGCCTGGTCAGACCAAATTTCTGCTGGGGTTAGGATTTGTATCTGAAATGACAAAGAGCAACCAAGCTTCCAGTTAATTCTGACTGTTGGTAGTCATGAGGTCACTTACAATCACATTTCTCCAGCTATATCCTTGCTCTTCCATAGATGGTGCTGCACAGTAGCTGGGACTTGCTTGGACATGGTGGTGATGGTTGATCACCGTCAGGCAGTTTTTATAACCTGAGAATTAGGAGGGAGCAAAAATCAAGTGAGTATAAGGGAGGGAAGAAGGAAAAGAATGAACAGCAAACAATTTAACATGCTGCTGGATCTGTCAAAAAGCATTTATCCTGCCACTACCCTCTAGATAATAAAGTCTGCAGAGCCAAGATGTTTCATATCAACGGTGATCCAGTACAATCTGTGCTGCTACTGCTGATCACACTCTTGGGCTGGTTTTCTGTTTGCCTTCACAATGAAAAGCAATTTTTTAAAGAAAAAATGTCAGATATTTCATAGTCTCATGAAATTGGCTGGTTGCTAGGAACAGAAGGGCCAAGCAGGTCACCAAACAATGAATTGGACAACTATAGACTCCTGTGTTACCTGTGGAAAGGAAAAGGGACTGCCATGCAGTTCTGCAGGCCATTAGTAGGATGCAAGTCAGAGTCTCCAATCATGAAGGAAGTAAAGGAGCAACACAGCATCTGCAGTGCCTGAAAGAATGACATGGAAGCACCCCAGGAACTTAGGATGTTTAAAAGAGTCAGAGGAGAACACCAGACTAAAGACACCTGGTGGTCAGAAGAAGGTTTTGGAGGGTATGGAAATGTGGGTGCAGCTGTGGGACATACTAAACACTTCATTGCAAGTCAATACCTCTCTCCATTGGCCCTAACACAGGCAAGAATATTGCAAGTAATTATATGTAGTGGGTCCTTCAGTGTGTATAGGGTTCAGTGGAGTAAAAAATTTGTTAACAGCTGAAGTCCTATTGTTCTTATTTACCTTTCAGTTTATAACAGATAATTATGTAAATAAACTTCCTGGTATGAAAGAATCATGGAATTTTAGGGGTTGG